TAATAATACAATTTTTGTATGGCTCCTTTTAAAACAGTTACAAACAATTACAGTTACACAGTTACAAAGTTTACACCACAATAAAACCAAAACACATAAAATACACAACACAAATAGACGTATAAAACGTAGAAAATCAACAATTAAAAGCCAACCTATAATAATAAGTTAAAGGAGAACAATGAAGAGGCTTGTGATGTTAAGTGATCAAGTGACAGTGTATTCTACAAAAGAGGAGCTCTGACAGAAAAGCTTGATAGTCCTCTGTCTTCAGTCTTGTTCTGGGCACAAAAAAGTTCATTTATTCTTGAATGTGGTGATTTAAACACTGGGTTTGGAGTCTACATGACAATTTCAAGTATTTACACTGTGAAAGAGGTTTGTATAACTTGTATATAAGTTTGTAATAGCTGTTTTAGTTATTATATATCTCTAGATTTAAAAACAAGTTAAAGCATGTTAGTGATGAAATTGTTAAATTATAGAAATGTTTGTATTCGAGAACAATAATTAAGCAAAGCATGTTTATTTTTAAATTTAATTTAATTTTCTCTTGATGTATAATATTTATATTTTACATATTCAAATGTTTTATCACAGATAATATATATATACTGTATAGTATTATACAGTATATATATTATATATAGAGTATTTCAGAGTATTTCAGGCTGGGACTGGAAAACAAACTAAAAATTATCCAGCAGGTGTTGCAAGTGAAACTTTTAGTGAAAATGATGCTTCTGAACCACAAATACATGAACAAAATCATCCAACACAAGAATTTTACACCATGCTGGGAAAAGATAAAAAGCTTAGGTTGGATCAAAAATCAGAAAACTACAGACATTCAGACTGATAATATTAACGTCAGTCAATCTGTACCACTACCAATCATACATTTATAGACCCGATAAAGTTGTAAAAACATCTTAGTTACGGTTAACATGCATTAACCAATATTATGGATATGTTCAGATACAGATGCATCAAATAATACAGCAGATCAGATCAGAGCAGAGCAGCATTCATTGTTCGAGTTTCGAGTGAAAAGGGATCAGTAACAAATGATCAGTTTGCACAGAATAAATGGCAGCAAGTTTAGGCTATAGGCTTTTGAGAGTAATCATTTTCTGAGATCAATCATTTGTTCAGATTCCAGTTCCTCATTATTCATTTTGAAAAATAGCAATTCAAAAATCAGACCAGACATCTTGATAGACACACAACAATTAATAGAGCGGCTTTAACTGTTACATTGATGGATACCGACTTAACACTAGCTTGACTGAAATTTCAAGATCCTGAGGACAAACCCCCTCCTTCTTCTTAGCAATCTGAGGGCTATTAGTGGCCTTTTGTTAGACAAATTGCTGCAGGTAATCCAGACACACCCACCACGCCCACCACGCCTGATGATGTTGTCACATTGTTTCTCAAGGGCTCTTGTT